ATATATGTGTGTGTGTGTATATATATATATTTATTTATTTATTTATTTATAATAATTAATATGATCATCTTATTATGATCAAGAAAAAAATCCATACAGATTGGTGAAATGTCTCTAAGTAATTCTAGTACTTTAGTACTTCAGTAAGTCAGTAAGTATTTCAGTAAGTTTCAGAAAGTTGCTAAAGCAACATTTCTAAATTTCATTTAGGTTTTTTAAGTTTTAGTTCTTTTTCATCTAATATTTATATTTTATTTTATTTCAGATTTATTTCAATTACCAAAAACCCTTTTAGTAGTTTGTTAACAATGTCCAATTTGTAGATGAATGATTCATTTGAGTTGAATCTTAAAATCGGTTTGAATTATCGGTTTAATTCGTGGATATCAGTTGTATAATGCTTTATTTGTCATTTTAAAGCTTGATAACCCCAGTCCTCATGGCTATGATGCTCTTAAAAAAATTGTTTTGTGTAATGTGGAAAAAAATCTCATAGCTTTGAGACAACTTGAGGGTTAGTACATACTTGTAGAAAAACTGTTCCTTTAAGAGCTGATTATTATTATTATTAAGCTCATAAATTCCTCATTGTGTATCCATTTAACAACGTCTAAAACTGAAATTCATGTTAATAGAATTATTAAATTGGCAATCACTTCATTTAAATTTGGCTCAGGTTACTCATACAGATGGCCATTTTTACAGCCTCGGCATGACATCTCTCTAGCACAACATCTAGGTTCCGTCTTGATAATAACAATAACACTAGCATGTACATATTATAATAACACTAGCATGTACATACATATTTTTCCTGCCATCCTGCTTTCCTTGATGGCGTCTCTGTGGTAAAGGCATGTATCAACATGAGGATGGAACACAGAGATGTCTTTCACACAAGTGTGACATTCAGCATGTATGTGTCCTTTGACTGTACCGCTGCCCTCTCACATCTCAGTTCCACATTCTCACCTCACCTGCCCTCCAGCTCACACACTGGCCTATTGTCTGACCCCTAGATGTTCTCCAAGACGTTCTTTATTTTGTTTGCAAATCGCAAGGCTTCATCTGTGTTTATAATTTATTTCTGTTTACGGTTTTATCTGCAGTGCTTTGAGAATAGTTGTGGGTCTGAATATAACCACAGCACATTTAGGTTTTATAGTTTATTCAGAGCGGTCATGATTTAGTAAATTAATAAACTGTGATATTCAACTAAAGAGATATAATTATGTTAAAAAGTATTTCATTTGGTGATTTAAATCCTTGCCACTCTTGTTATCTTGTCTCTTCAGGAGTACCGATCCAGAAAGAAAGCCCGACTGCAGAAGCGTATCGAGGAGCAGCTGAGAGCAGCGGCTCAGCCTCGACCTGACACACACGGAGCCACGCGTTCGACTTCTGACCTTGCTGAACTGCTGCAGTCATTCGGTGGGGCTTCCACTGGGGGAGATGTGCTGACCAAAGGCACACGCTTCACCCATACAGAGAAATTCACCTTTACACAGGTACCTGTCAGAATTTGTTTACTCAAACTGTGATGTGCCAGGGTTCCCACATACTGGAAAATCTTGGGTTTTGTAATGCTGTTTTCCAGTCATGGAAAATAATAATGACATGACTGTGTTACTAACAAGGTTATTTTCTAAATGTAGACATTTTGGGACTACAGCTATGACTAAGCTTGCCAGCTATGGAGATGTACCAGAAATATGTGTCTAAAATTGTTGTTTTTGAGTGAGAAGCAAAGTGCTAATATGTGATGTCTATATAGTCATTTTGTATGTATTGACTGACTGTAGATGTGTTGCTCACAGAAAACACATGGTAAAAATATCGGTGTCAGTAGGCTGTCTTGTAATCAAGGCTGAGAGAAACATAGATAAACTATTAATACTGATAATATGCTTTCTCAGCAGGACTGTGATTGGTCATTACAGTTTTTCAAATTTCTTAGATTGTATGATTATTCCAGTAAACTAATGGCCTATACTACACCTTTATAAATGATACATAAACATTATAAAATACAAAATTATTATTATTATCATCAACATAACTATATAGTAGTAATAATCATGTAAGTCATGAATGTTACATAAACCTTTCAAAACAAAAAAATATTATAAATTGTAAAACATTTATATAGTAATTAAAAATATATATTATGCTTCTATCGCTGCAGTGTAATGATAATTTTATATTATAAAATAAATTTTAATTAAAGATGTATATTGGTAAATGGACACTTACAAAAATACCAAAAAAATTGTATTCATCAATCTCCACTTGATTAACTTAAAGCCATTTCTTCTTATTATTCTTATTTATTATTAAAACTATAACCAAAAGTTAATTTTAGACTCTTTATTCAGTTAATTTCATCTGCTTTGAATCTGTATCTGTATGTAGTGGATCTTGATGTTTAGGCTCTTAACTAAAAAGGCAAATAGGTTGTTTGCACATGACGTCACTGATGACGCGCGAAATGCAGCTGGAGGGCAGGAAGTGATTTTTCTCTCCATAGGAATCACTAGCAGAAACTCCAAATGCCAGTGTTTTGCGTTGTTTGTGGATGCTTAAATTGGCCAAACTGAGAAACCACAAGGAGCTTTTATCGTGTATGAAAATGTGCTGTTCATAAGTGGGGAAAAGTCAAGAAATTGATTGAAAAACGCAGGAAAAAGTGGCTTGTAAACCTGTGTCTGCGGTCGGGAGGAGCGAAGCTCGTGTGATAATGCTCATGCGTGTAAATGGTTATTATAGGATATAATAATATATTAAGATATTTATGAGAAAGCAGCCCAGCAGATGGCAGCAGCAGCAAGTGCACTTCCCAGCTCTCACCAATCAGAGGAGGACCTAAAGGCCCAGCAGGAAGCAGAACTTTCTGCTCTGCAGCAACAGTTGCAGCAGCTGTCAGTCCAAATGGATGAAGTGGGCGGAGACATCAAGCAGCTCACTGTGTCTATCCAGCAGGTAATGACCAAGAAGAGAAAACGAATGTTATGCTGACATTTATATCACATATATAGTATTACTTATTATATCACATATAATACAGTGATTTAACAATAAAAATATGGGGAAATATTTCAGTTTTCAGAATCCTCAGTTCTCAGAATAAATGCAGCAGTTAAAAAAAAAAAAAAGAAAGAAAGTGACGAGATGTGTAGCCAAGTATGGTGTCCCATACTCGGAATTTGTGCTCTGTATTTAACCCATCCAAGTGCGCACACACACACAGCAGTGAGCAGTGTTGGGCAAGTTACTTCCAAAATGTAATGCGTTATATATTACTAGTTACTGTCTTTTGAAAGTAATTAGTTACATTACAATATTACTGTCTCTGAATTGTAATGCGTTACACTACTTTTGAGTTACTTTTGAGTTACTTTCACCAAAATATCCACAGAAGTATTATAAAATGCCAAAATGTAGTTTATTGCTGCTCATTCTACATCCAGTGGAGGGTAATGTGATGGGTCTATATGGCATAAAATTATAAAATCATATTTAGATACCGTCTAAATGAATGTTACGTTGTAGTTTAGGTAAAAAAAATATAAACACAAATAGCATTATTACATTCATAAATAACACCAGTAAATAAAGCGAAATGTTATAATGTACAAATAATAAACACCAGTGTTTCCAGGTTTTACTCGTGCTATTTCTCCATGTTGAGAGCACATATTGCTAAGCATTCTTATCCTTTTCCTAACTGAAAATAACAGGAGTGTGTCCATCTCACAAATGTAGAATCCGTCTCTGCAGTCATCTCAACCATTTAATTCCAGCAACAGAAGATAGACGAACTATTTTACCCGCGGATTTTTTTATCTGGTGCTGTTTTGCGGTGTTGGTAAATTCACCACTTAATTTAGAGTTAAAATATGTTGTTGTAACTTGCGTTACTGAGATTGTAACGAGTAATAATATTACCCAAATTTGATTAGTAATGCGTTATATTACTGCGTTACAGCAAAACGTAATATACTACTGTAATATTATTACTTTTGTAATGCGTTACTCCCAACACTGGCAGTGAGTAGTGAACACACACACACACCGTGAAAACACTCTCAGAGCAGTGGGCAGCCATTTTTGCAGAGGCGCCCAGGGAGGAGTTGGGGGTTCGGTGCCTTGCTCAAGGGTCTCACCTCAGTCGTGGTATTGAAGGTGAAAGAGACCGCTGGTCATTCACTCCCCCCACCGACAATTCCTGCTGGTACCGAGACTCGAACCCACGACCTTTGGGTTACAAGTCCAACTCTCTAGCCATTAGGCCATGACTTTAATCATTAATATGTTGTATTCCTGTCTGCAGGTGTCAGATGAGCTACAACAGAAAGAGGTTAGCAATGCCGAGAAGGAGAATTCAGTCAAAATGAAGAGACAGACCATTGACTTGCTACCTGACGCTGAGAACAACCTGCTGCAGTTACAGGTACACAAGTTACACACCGTACACAGCTGTATCACCCCCTCTGTGTGACCAAAAACAAATAATAAAAACAGGAATAACAGTACAGTGCAGACAGAATTAAACGGTATGTGACTAGCCTGTGACTAATGACATGTTTCTCTTTGTCTGTCCTTTGTGTTTGGTAGAGTCTGGTAGAGGCAAGCTCTAAACGAGTGGTTCATTTGGCCTCTCAGTGGGAGAAACACAGAGTCCCGTTGATTGACGAGCACCGCAGACTAAAAGAGCTGTGCAGCAACAGAGAGGTACCTTGTGTTACCCTGATGTGTTGTACAGCCCTATAGTAACTGCAGTCATCTAAGTCTAATATGCACTCCTATCTAAACAGCCAAATATGTAGATATCAATTAAATTCTTTGTGTATCAAATCCCTGAATGTATGAAAAGGGCTGTATGATTTTGGGCAAAAAGTCTAATTGTGATTT